ACAAGCATCTGTTCAATGCAAAGTGCATTTTTAGCCCTTCAGTGCCATCACCATTTGTAGGAATGGTTTAAAAATATTTAAAGCACTCCTTATGAAAGTTTTGTTGTTCACTCGCAAAGTCATGCCTGACCCTTTGCATTCCTCCAGGTTTTCCTGTCCTCTACCATCCTCTGGAGTACACCCAAGCCCACACCCACCTCTCCAGTGACCTCATCCAGCCAGCTCAATCTCTGCTGCCCCCTTCTCCTTTTGCCTTCAATTGTGGTTTTCCCCGCTTTCTTCAATTTAAGCCTGAATTTTGCAATAAGAGGCTCATGATCTGAGCCACAATCAGCTCCAGGTCTTGTTTTTACTGACTGTATAGAGCTTCTCCATCTTTGGCTGCAGAGCACATAGTCAATCTGATTTCTGTGACCATCTGGTGATGTCCATGTGTAGAGTCATCTCTTGGGTTGTTGGAAGAGTGTTTGCCATGACCAGCATGTTCTCTTGACAAAACTCTGTTAGCCTTTGCTCTGCTTCATTTTGTACTCCAAGGCCAAACTTGCCTGGTATTCCAGTTATGTTTTGACTTCCCACTTCAGCATTCCAATCCCCCATGATGATAAGGACATCAGTTTTTGGTGTGAGTTCTAGCAGCTGTTGTAGGTCTTCATAGAACCAGTCAAATTCAGTCTCTATGACATCAGTGGTTGGGGCATAGACTTGGACTACTGTGATGTTGAATAGCTTGCCTTGAATTCAAACTGCGATTATTCTGTCAATTTGGAGAATGTATCCCAGTACTGCTTTTCCTACTCTTTTATTATGATGGCTACTCCATTTCTTCTGAGGGATTCTTGCCCACAGTAGTATATATGATGGTTGTCTGAATTAAATTCACCCATTCCTGTACATTTTAGTTCGCTGATCCCCAAGATGTCGATGTTCAGTTTTGTCATCTCATGTTTGACCACATCCAACTTACATAGGAACATAGAAACATAGAAACAGAGTGAGTCAGAAGGGGCTTCCCGGGCCATCTAGTCTGACCTCTGGCACCAGCCGGCTCCGCTCACGACATGTCCACCATGTGCACGTCCAGCCTATCCTTGAACACCCGCACCGATGGGGCCTCAACAACCTCTCGTGGAAGCCCATTCCACACCCTCGGGGTCCTTGATTCATGGACCTTACATTCCAGGTTCCTATGCAGTATTGTTCTTTATAGCATCTGACTTTGCTTTCATCACCAGATGCATCCACAACTGAGTGTCCTTTTGGTTTTGACCCTGTTGCTTCGTTCTAGTACTAGCCCTCTGCTCTTCCCCAGTAGCACACTGGATAACTTCTGACCTGAGAGGCTCATCTTCCTGTGACATACCTTTTATCTTTATGATTCTGTCCATGGGGTTCTCATGGCAATGGTACTGGAGTGGGTTGCCATTTCCTTCTCCAGTGGATCACCTTTTGTCAGGGCTCTCTGCTATGACCTGTCATCTTGGGTGCCCCTGCATGGCATAGCTCATAGCTTCATTGCACTACATAAGCCCCTTTGTTGTGGCAAGGCAAAGGAGTATGAAGGAGTATGAAAGTTTATTTCATTCAATATGTACAGGTATGTTTTCAGAGTTTAAAATAAACCTGAGCCACATAACCTGCTCAGCCATAAACCTGGAGCAAACACAGAAACTTTCTCATGTTGACTGTAACCAGTTGTCTACCCAGCCCCATATTGCCTGCATTAGCGATAGGCAACAGGGCACTGGTGCACTCTCCAGCCCCTTCCTTGGTGCATTACCCCTCCCTCTTTCAATAACAGAGTTTCTCACTGAGATCACTTCAAAACTGAGGGAGGATATCTAGACATTCCCACCTTCTTTTCCCATGAAGGTTTCTGGACAGGTAAGACTTGGAGACATTCTTGGGAAATGAAGATGGCATGTGGCTCTAGGCAAATGCTTTCATCTGTGGCACACCCATTTTGTAGTGGCTCCCAGGACAATTTCTCAAATTGCCAAATGCGCTCACTGGGTCAGTTTCCCGGGCCCTGGTCTACCTTGACTGGCATCAGCTCGCTCATCCACAAATACCTATGTCCTCTTTTCTCCTTCGCATTCCACATTTCGGATCTGCAGCTGCTTGAAATCTTATGTTTGTATTTAAAAGTCTTCATTGCTCCTGAAGCACATTTTTAAAAACCCAGCAGAAGTGAAAGGGATTAAATTTGTAGGCTTATGCATAATGTGAGATCAGTAAGGATGCTTGTCTTGTACACACAAACATTTGCTTTGCTTTGCTGGAGCCAAAAGGACAGGTGGAAAAGCAGGGCTCCACCTCACACGCTGGGACTGCGTCTGAGCCTAGCTTGGAACAGAAGGGACAATAGGAGAGGTGAGTGAAATGGGGAAGATTTCCAATAGGTAACACAAGTGTTTTTAAGTTACACCTCTGATGTCAACCTAAGTTACTTGAAGACATTCAGGACCAGACCCTCCTAGGACCTTGATGACAGCAGGATAATTTTATTCCTTTGGGATGTGTACAAACCAAATGAAAGTGAAGCCTGAGTTGTTACAAGCTCTTACATTTAGGAATTTTCTGCAATTTCAAGAAATTTGTGCTTTATAAATAGAAAATGATCGGGCCAAGGTCTCCTAGTCTGGTTCTTGGCAATGCAGTGTCTATGGGGACCAAGGTACCTTTCCCCGCACAGCCCCTAATGAGGTACCACAGCCCTACAGAGTGGGGAAAAAAGTTTTTAATCTCACCACTCTGGGCAGCTGAAATAACTTCAAAGTTATGCTTTAGCTTCCAGCTTTGCATTTTCTTTATTTATTTCATGATGCCATCATGCCTCTTTCCTCCAGGTACAACTGTTATAAGAAAAGTGCGTAGGGTTTTTAAATGTGAAATTTATATCTGATATGACCAAGGCAAATAAAGTCAGCTTTGGCCATAATTTCAGCAGTTTTGTTGTTTGGTGTGTTGAGAAATCCTCAAATCTTTTTTAAAAATAATTATCCTCCCAAAAATCTGTACAAGGAAGATTTGTGAAGGAAACACTAATGTGACACCATGTTTTGCAGAGCAGCACATAAAGCATGGATGTGATGCACATATCAACAAGTCTTTTAATACCCATATACATGCATCTTGGAATCTTGGCCCATTCTTGGTTAAAAAGACATACTTTTGCTTATATACAATAAATTATCTTTCTCTTTTTATTGGTATGCAGGATGTCAATGTAGAGAAGTTAAAGCAGTATGATATGAAGAAATGACTTCAATGAAGATGGATTTTCATTTGCATTTATTCTGCAGTTTCTCCCAAAATGAAACTCAAAAGGACATCTCTCTGAGATGTTGAGGTGGGAGGAGTGATCACAACAAAATTGCTAAAGAATCAGCCAGTGTGTAGACTCTCTCATAGTACAACATCAAAAAATAGAAACCTGTTACAAAACTTGTAAAAAAACACTCAATCACAATAGTGCAAGAGGTTATGAACTGTTTGTCTGTATGGAGGCAGCAGAATACGATAGTGAAAACAACACATGCCCTTCTAATTTATGCTGGCAATGCTTTAAGCCAAGGGTCCTCAAACTATGCTCCGTGGGCCGGATTCGGCCCGCCATGCCCATTTAACCAGCCCGCCCCAGAGGATTTGCACTGGCTGCACACACGTGCGGTCACGCAGCTTGCTCGCATGGAGATCTGACTCGCTTGGAGAAACGAGCTCCTTGTGAGCAAGCCGGCACCTCACCATGTGTGCACCTGGCGGTGGCTTGCTCACGGGCAGATCAGTTTGGACTTGCTCAGAGAAAGTGATCTCTGCTCGAGCAAGCAACTGCCTTGCCCCGAGTGCGCGTGTGCACGCACCCCGGCCTGCACTCCCCCGCCGGCATGGCCTTGGCAGCCCACGCCCACCGCCGGCACCCTTCAACTGGCCCCCTGTTGGAAAAGTTTGAGGACCCCTGCTTTAAGCATTCCCAGGGTTGCTTTGAGTGAAATAGCAAATAGGCAGGGACGTGTCTAGAATGCATTAATAGGGAATTGCACCAGTTGCTGAACAACTGGCGATACCATACAACAGTTGTGTCTGCAACATGCATGGACAAGTCATAGCCCACAGGTTCTATGCACCTTCCGCCAAAATTCTCCATATTTTGTGGGCAAACGTCTGCAAGAAATTACAGTGGAAGGCTAAAACAGCCAAGTGTAGTTTAGCAATAAGCTAAATTTGCTGTTTCAGCATTCCATAGTGGTTTCCCATGGAAAATTAGTGGCAGATCATTGTGGGATTTTGCCACTCTTCAGTTTGGTGGAAGGAACACAACCAGGGCTTGGAGTCTCAACCTGAACCCCTCAGTGTTTTTTACCCTGGTCTATAAAATGAGCTCTAAAGCCATGTGATGCTTTACAATCGGCAACTCTTTCAAACAGATGGACAAATACTGGTAAGTCAATTCAAAGTGTATCCACAAAAGGCAGATATAATCAGGGTGCTTTCAGATGGAGTGCCCCTAATACTACCAATTAGAAGGGATTGTGCAACTATTCTGTCTTCTCCTTCACTAGTTTTCTGCAATAAAGAAAAAGTAGGAAGTGGTGAGGAAATGCAGGAGGGCTACAATCTGGACCCACACAAAAAGTTCCATGAATGAGGCAGGGTGATGGTACAATAAAAGCCTCATTTGGGCTCCTCCTCCCTTAAGTGGCCATGAGTTACTTGAGAGGAATCAGTGAGAAGTCCCTGGGCCTCCTGTTCAGACTACAGATATAATGACCAGAGGAGGCTTCCGGGTCTACTACTGTTAATTCTAAATTTATACAAGTTAATTATGATATGCATCCCCTTTTAATGGGCTGTAGTGCATTCTATTTAAGATTAGCTCCTTAAAGGGACTGGTTGTTTGGAGCATGTTAAACTTGAAGCTCAAGGTGTGAATGGGCATCTTAGAAACATAGTGAGTCAGAAGGGGCCTCCCAGGCCATCTAGTCTGACCCCCAGCTGCAGCAGGCTGCACTCATGTAATACCCAATATGTGGTTGTCCAATCTTTCCTTCAATGCCATCATTGATGGGCCGCCACCACCTCCCATGGAAGCCCATTCCATACTAACCATCAGGAAGTACTTCCTGACATCCAACCTGAAACCTGGTTCCTTGAGCTTTGCCCGATTGAACCATCCTGTCCACCACCACAGAGGAGAACAGGTCATGATCCTCTACCATGTGACATCCCTTTACATACCTATATGTTGCTATAAGATCCTCTCTGAGTCTCATCTTCTCCAGGCTGAAAAGACCCAGCTCCCTCAAACTCATCTCGTATGTCATCCCCCGCAACCCAGCTACCAACCTTGTGACCCTGTGCTAAAATGATTGAGTCTTCTGGACTCAGTTCACAAAGTGCAGATTTTTTAAAATCTTTAAAGCTTTTAATAGGTTGGGCTCCATTATGAGTTGAAGAGAAACATCTACCCTGTGGATCCCACTTGCTCATTTTTCCCTTTCTAAGTTGATTAGTTGAAAAGTGTCTTTTTACTTATAAATCCATAAGGTCCATACATTGGGACACACAGATAAATATATTCGGAACATGTTACCAAACATCAAGAGTCAAGTTCCTTCTGAACATGCTGTCACAGCCTTCTTGGTCAGCTTTTAACCAACACTATGGGCTGGTTCACAAAGGTCCATACAATACTTAAATATATTTGATGACTGGCACGTTGAATGCCAAAACTGGCCTCACTGAATGAACTTTCTGCCCAGTCCAGTTAGAAGCCACACAAACATGTATTCTCATCTTGTGATGAACTACAAATGGATGCTGCAGATAGATTTGCTTTTCCTGATCGAGTTGCACAGAAAGTGCTTCCAAAGCACTTTATCAGCTGTTGAGAAAGGAGCTGAGTGGGCTGGATTAAGCCCACTGCCTCATACCAAATGTTAGATAGACTGCTGCTTTTAAAGACAGCCCCATAGATGCCCAGTTGTTTCTTGGCTATTATATGTTGTGGATGTGATCAAGGAAATGCTGTTTGTAGTATTACGTATGTGATGGCCCATTCACACTAGAGCTGACCTGAAAGTCTACCACTGCCATGTTCATGGTGATTAATTCAATCCAACTGGGCAGCAGGATGGGAAGCCTATAAGATACAAAGCAACAGGGGCTTTCTTAAAGCTTCCCCAGTGCTCATCCTGTGTAGGAATGCCAAGACAGTTTCATGGCCAAGTGGGCTAGGAAGCTGAATTTTAAATGCAATATTCCCAAAAGCCAAGCTTCTCAGAATGTTAATTTTTGCACTTCTGTAGAACTACTGTGGTCCAGATCCAGAAAGCTCTGACTTTAATGTCATTATGCCTGCATATTGCAAAGTAATACAAACAAGTACCAGTAGCGCACACAACTGTTACACTGCCGTCTTGACAGGATGAGATGTAGTCTTGGGACAGAACATAAAATTAGCATTGTCAGCATCTGCAACACTGCCATCCCCCAAGCATCTCCTTGCTACTACATCCACTGAGAATATAAACTGTAATCTGTCACAGAAGCATTGCTCTGTGAGAAAAGCAGTATGCCAGTCTGCCTAACCATTGAAATAAATTCCATATCTATTTTTCCCAGTATTATCCAAGGCAAGAATGATCTAATAACAGTCCAGTTCCCTCTCTAGCAGCTATTAATACGTTACATCAAAAATATAACCCTGGCCCCAGCAATGGACTAAATGAACAAAGGAAACTTTCTGACCAACTTCCAAGGAAAATGTGCAATATTCAAATGTTTCATCTCAGAAATGATAAATAGGAAAGGGCAAAACATTTATCCTTTACCTCCTGGAATTCCCAGTAATATCATTTGCATTGCTTGAGAAGAAAAGTTGCAACTTTTCACTGTGAACATAATAGGAAACAAACGAATTCTGTTTAGTGCTGTTGCAGACAACTGGAAGAACTCTTCTGAAGATTAAATTTTTAGGAAGTGCCAAGTGCACTGAAGAAAAAAGATCATTAACAAGACTAGGGCTACACCATTTCACTGGAGAAGCATTAGTAGTAGGGATGAAGGCAAGTTTGACTGAATTGCAAACCTACATAGTTACAGTGCTTCTACCAAAGCCACCAAGCCGCTGTAAACAAATGTCAAAGGAGAATCTTCTCTAGGTAAGGTCATAGAGGGCAAGGAAGCCCTATAATACTCCAAATACTTCTGGGCTCTTCTGACAGCAGAAGTGAGGTGCTGTGATTTCTCTTCTTTAAGTCCTGTTGATTTTACTGTTCCAACCTCAGATGGAACTTTCCTTCACTGCACAGCACATTGCTTGGCGTTATCAGCATCTTCTCCTCTCACATCTGGGTTCAAGCTCCCTTTCTGCTCTATTTCCACCTGATAAAAAAGAAAGGGGAAGAGTTTTGGAAAATAATGAGCTTCTGTTTCCTGTGCTTTCGGTCAATAGCAAATTACTTGAAAGTATTGGATGGCCAATACTCAGGTAGCCACATCTGCCATCGCATCCCCCACCTTTCAGACTGCTAGCAGGATAGTGGAACAGTGGACAATGAGGGAAGCATGAAACTTGAGTTGTGATGCTGTATTAGAGAAAAGATGCCCAAGATCGTAATGGGGTTCATGGAGGTAAAGGTGCTGCACTTTCTACCCTTCTTCTGCAAGGCAGAAACTCCCAAACTCTCCCTATAGAAAAAATGGCCCTATAGAATATTGGATGTATGCTTCCTCTTTACCAGAAAGTATAAAAGTGGGCTATACTAGGTCCAACCATTGCTTCATCTACCTCAAGGTGACTCCCCTGGACCTTGTGCAATGATCTTTCTGAGCCTTGCTCTCTGAAAGATTGTTTAACTAAGGGGTGGGCAACATGCAGCCCCCATTGCTCCAAATTTGCTGCCAAAATTCAGAGGTGCAGTGATGGAAAACAAACAGATTTGCAGAAGCACATGTCTTGTTTCAAAGCAAAATTGCCATCTTGGAAGCATCCAGAAATTGCAATGATGCATCAAGGCACGCGCTGCCCGCATGGCTTGTTTTAAAGGATTCCCCCCCATGGGGGCACCAGTTCCAGGAAGGGTGATAGTGGAAGCTGGCGTCTGAAACAGTGGGAGTTCACCACATCACTACTTTAACTGGAGATGCCAGGAATGGGCTTTGTTCATACAAGGCACACACTCTGCTGCTGAACTACAGCTCCTACTGTAAATGGACTGCACCTTTAAGGTGAAAGACTTGCATCAAGCAGAACTCGGGGTCTGGTTGTTCACTGGAGCTAGTGATGCAGCTAGGTGGTCTGCTCTCAAGAGTTTTATTTGCGCCCTTCCCCACTCCCAGAAAGCAACAACCAAAGCCATTTACACACCATCCAAATCCTGAAAGAAAAAATGAATATTCATCGAGTTGTCAGTAGCTCAATCATACCTTGTAACTATAATGTGCTGAATAGTTTACCCACTTCCTGACATCTGTCTTTCCTTCCACAGAGATAGAACGAATGGTGGCCTTGGATGCCGAAGTGGTTGGCATGTCAAATTCTACGTCCACATAGCAGACAAAACTAGAAGGCACTTCCCGGTCTGAGCCAAGCTCCAGGTGGCAGAAGAAGCAGTGAGGATGACCTGAAGCTACAAAGACAGACAGACAGAGGAAATTAAAGCCTTACCATGAAATCTAAAAAGGAAAGCATTTGAGAACTGCTTGTTGAACAGCTTAATTAAACTGAGAATTGTGGAGTCAGATTAAGATTTTTAAAAAACCAGAAATGATATTGAAAACACTGCCAGCTAATGAATTGGACATTTTTGTTCCACTCTCTGGTTTTCTTTGTATAGTATCATGTGAATTGTGCCCACCTTATGATAGAACCAATATTTGATGCTGCCTAAAGATTTAAAGGTCTAAATATGTGTGAGGCTCACCTACGTCCATCTAGAAAAAAGCAGAACCCCACAGGGATCCTCAAACTGTCCAATGCAGAGGAAATTAGGAAAATCCAATTCCTAGTGAAACCTAGAGGACTTTGACATGATTCGAAGAGACTTAAGGTACATTTTCTTTCTTCTTTTTGGAGGCTGATGCACATTCACAGTACTCTTCAGCCAACTACTCTCTTTATATAGAAGATTCAGGAAGAAATGCATTACAATGTTTCTCAAGGGCCACAAAGCAAGTCTTTTCCACACATTCCTCCAGGATATAGGGCTGAGAGGAGCTGTCGAACAAACCACACATTTCCCATAGTCGTGCCTAAGAAAATATAAGGCCTGCCTTGACTGAAAAGCAACAGTAGGAAAGTGGTTTTCAGTGGAGAAATGGGGAGGGAAATGATGCTTAACTTTTCCACCATCTGCTGTTTTCCTCACTCCCACAGCTGCTTTTCTGGCTGTGAGATTCCAGATGCTTACTTACCCATTGCAAATCATTTGCCTCTATTGATGGCTTTCCACACAGAGACAGCAATCAAGAATTTCTCCTGTAAGGTAATTTCTTAAACTTGTGTAGAAAGAGCTGTGTGTGACCTATCAAAGGTTCTAGAGAAAGTCAGTATAGGAGACTAGAGATTAGAATTGGAGACTTGTTTGGCTACTTATATCAGAACGGAATAATTGTTTTCTAAATCTCAATGGATGAATTTTAGGGAATAACCCCTAGAATCTTGAGAAAAGTCAGTAAAGATTAAGAGAATGCCTTGTTTGTATTTTGGGAAGCTGCTAATTCAGTAAATCTGGTGTAGCGCTGCGGCTGAGTATGCAGGCTCTGTGTTTAGAAGTTCACCACAGCCAACCCAGCCCAGCTTCTTTGTCTACAATATGGAGTAATGCACAGAGATCATCTGCGAACACTTCTTGCTCAGAGATGATCCAGTGGCAGATTTGTGTTGCACCCAATATGCAGGAAATGGTGACTGAATAAACTATGTGCATGACACACTGAAATGTTGGCCTTTTGAAAGATTTCCCAGGATGTACAACATGGGAATCATTCAAAAGGCCAACTTCATAATGTTTCACCCACACAGCGTCTGAATGCATCTTGCACCTCTTCTGGCAGCAGCAACATATGACAAACGCACCAAGCTGAATCAAATGTTGACATCCAAGAACTTGTGAGAGGCAGTGAGTGCATATCTGAGTACCAGCAGTCCATGTTCCTCTTTCGTTTTTACTGTTTAGGTACACAGATGCAGGGAAATGTTTCCTTTAAAGCCAGAAAATGGAACATGGGATAACATGGAAAGGCATGCATTGCAACCTACATGGGCAGACATTACAACAACGCTTCTTACTACTATTTGTATATACTGCTGAAAATGAAAGATCCATGCTGGCTGAGGTCATGTGGAACCATGGATAACATTGACCAGTATCTGCTGTAAAACAATCTCATGGCAGGGGTGAGGATTCTCAGGCCTGGAGGCCAAATGTGGCCCTCCAAGGGTCCCAATGGCCCTCCAGAATTCATGAGATTGGCTACTGCTCCTTCCCCCAGTCCTGCCCACTCCTCTGGGTCACCAGTGATTTGCGGTTTCCCAGCCTTTGGTAGAATACCTCTCCTGGAGCTTTGTAACCAGCAGTAAGAATTTGAAGTTATGACATGCTGGTATTTTGGTATTTTTGCCTTTGTGCAGCCCATCACTGGAATGTGATCTAAGAGCTTCTCGAAAATCTAATTTGGCCCTGGTGTTCCCTACCCTGACTTACTGCATAAGTGATAATAATAATTAAAATAGCTGCATGAGCTTTGCAAGGGATATGTTTTAAAACTACAGCACTTTACAGATTCAGATGTTCAATGTAATACACTTGAGAGAAAAGTGCATTCAGTATTGTGAAACATTGATAAGATGCCTATAGTGTTGAGATCCAAAGCTAGGATTTAAATCCTAACCTCCTTCAGTATTTGCAGGCTTTCTCACAGTAAAGGCAAAAGCACATTCTATAAATCAATGTTTTCTTAGCACCCTTTGTTCTTTTGTCTGTTTGGCTAACCAAAATGCACACACAAACACACACACGCACACACCGAAACACTGAATCATGGCTTTTCGGGACTGAGACTCCTCACATCTGGGAAACAAGGCTAGATTTATCAGCCAGGGACAACACATTGCTTATGAATGAGGGGAACGTATTAGAAGTTACAAAACTGTTCTTGGAAGAATCACAGCAATGTTCTTCATAGAATTCAGTTTCATTATTTTGATCTCACAGCTCCAACCTGGTCCAACACAGGATTTTTTTAAAGGACCAGTTTTGTGACATATAAAAACAGCTGCCCCTCAAAGACAACAAAAGACAGCTGCGCATTACAACACTTGTCTTGTATATACAGCACTTCCCTTGCAAAGAGCAACTGGTGACTTCATGAGTCACAGAATCAACCAAGCAAGACTCAAGCTGGACCAAGCTTTTGAGAAGATGGAAATAAACATTAGACTAAAGTTTGCATCCTATGCTTTTTTCCCTGGGATCACGTCAGAATGAATACAATGGGACCTACTTCTGATTAAACATGTATAGGATTGCATTGTAGGTCTGTGCACCCAGCACTTTTTTTGTTATCAAATCCCAAATTATGTATGCAAAGCAAGTGGTGCAAATGTACGTCTACTCAGGGAGGTGATAAAACCAATGTCTGGGTCAAACAGCTTTAGGTGGGGGTTCATATGAATTATTCCTCTTCCAGTAAAAAATATTTAAAAAATCCAAAATCCTCCCAAGATGTTGGGAGAAGGTGTCTGACCCTGATCCTAACCTTCTTATGACAAGATTTTGAGGTGTCTAGATGGAAGGGACACAGTGGATGTGGTTTACTTAGACTTCAGCAGGGTCTTTGAGAAGGTGCTGCATGATGTTCTGGTTGAAATACTGATGAGTTTTGGGATAGATTCTATGATAGACTGGTGAACTGTTCAGTGAATTAGGGCAGAGTTGATGGACTGCAAGCAAAGGGTGACTATCAGTGGAAAATCATGCAGATGGCAGCCGGTGACAAGCAGAGTCCCCGAGGGCTCAGTTCTGGGACTGATTCTGTTATCAATTCTCGTTATCAATGACCTGAAGGAGGAGGTAACCAGTCTGCTGACCAAATTCACAGATGATACCAAAGTAGGGGCAGTGGCCACAGCTGGGGAGCAGGTACTTCAAATACAGAAGGATCTGTACAGACTGTGGAAGTGGGTTGCTGACAACAGAATGGCATTCAGTGTAGATAAGAGTAAGGTCTTGCACTTGGGACTCAGGAATAGGATATGGAATGGGCTTCCATGGGAGATGGTGGAGATCCCATCAGAGTGTTCAAGGAAAGATTGGACAACCACATGTTGGGTATTACATGAGTGGACCTGGCCGGAGCTGGGGGTCAGACTAGAAGGCCTGGGAGTATGTTTCTATAGCCTTCTTCCATTTCATCTAATGCTCTATGTTTGGAGATTTTTGTTTCTGTTTTGTTTTTGTATGTAGGAGCTACATTCAGAGGGTTCATGTACTGTTTGATGCACTTTATGCACCTTGGAGCTTTCAATCATGGGAGATTTTACCAGCCAACTTAAGTAGTTCAGCCCAGACAAAGTCTTATCACAGCAGTGAAAACTGAGCATAAGTACAGCAGCATGTATAAGGACTTCCCAAGCAGCCGGTTGCTTGGGTCCGAGCAGCCTATGATTGCAGAGCAGCTGAGCCAGTAGCATCCAAGGGTGCTATGTATCTGCTCCCAAAAGAGGCCTGCTTGAGACATCCAAACCATTAGGGCAGCTGCTGGTTTAAGAGCAGCAGCATAAGCAGACACAGAGATGGGAACAGAAACAGAAGAAATGAGGGACGGGTGGAAGCAGTCAAGAACCATCAGGAGGGATGCTATCATGAGCTCTTTTTCTATTAGCACTGTTGTAGTAATGCTATTAATGCTAGCAACCCTTCAAGCCTTCACGTTATGCAGACACACCATTTGAACCCACTGGGAAAATGTTTTTTTACCCTTCAAACTGAACAATACTCCAATGTACCCCAGCACCCAAAATGTAACTTTCTGCAAGATTATCTGGTTCAAGCAGCAGTACCCACCAGAGTTTTTGTCAGGCAATCGGTTTATCCTCCACACAATGGAATTGAAGGCATGCTCATATTTGGCAGTTCCTAGTGTTACTCTCATGACTGGTTCAGAACCAGAAATGCTAGTGGATCCAAAGCTAGCACTTTTGTTCACCTTTGCTTTCAGGGACTTTTCCCCAAGGACACTATCTCTGCGGAAATTTTTCACCCACTCCTGCGGCACAGGGTACCGGATCATCACATTTTCACAGGGGACCTGAGACAGAGGGTCTCTGTTGGAGGAGAAACCTGGTGACACCATCAGCCAGCTCTGAAGCTCCACCTCCGCACCGTTGATGCTGGCTGCCACCCGCAAGGTAAAGGGCAACGTTTTCTCAGAAAACGCAGTCCTGAAACGCATCAGTTCAAACCGGCAGGCATCCAAGGGATTGAACAGAATGACGTGGGCGCTGGCGAATGCCTCTTCATCCACACACGAGTGGAAATGGCAATCATGCAACTTAATCCATTTGGTGGTGGTGGTGGGCATAATGTCCTGCCGAGAGACAATTTCATTCCCTTTGACAAGAATGTCATTGAGGCCCAGCCGGCATTCCGCCAGGCCAGAAAGAAAAGTGAGTACGTGCACGTGTGTCAGCACATGGTGCTGCAAAATCCTGTTGTCTCCTTTGGCCAAGGTGCCATAGAACTCATCCTTTACGTCCACAGTGATTTCCTCCTCTTGGTAGTTCAGTCCCACGGTGCTCAGGTCTGTCAACGACGCAGGCAAATCCATCAATATATCCTGGACTGCTCTGATGAAACTGAGGAAGTCTTCATAATTAGTGGTGCCGAGCTTAATAACCTGCTCCCGCTCTGCTGCGTGGAAGACAGCTGGCTTTGGCTGGTACTTCTTTTTCTCCTTGTAGGTGGTGCGATCTATCCTCACACTGTGTATCCTTCCATTCTCATCATAGTTCTGGAGCTTGGGTTCTGAAATCTCATGATTGATTTCAAGCTTGAATTCCCTGAAAGGCTTCTCCAGTCCCTTTTCATAGAATAGCTGCAGGTGCCCACTTTCGGTCAGTTTTACGTAAATTGGACCCCAGTGCCTAGAGGACATGATATTCTTCTTTTCTGGTATCCTCAGCATCATTGGCCAGCCATCTCTTTGCTGAGGTGGACATAATTTAGAAAAGGTTCCATCCATCTCCACTGGTGCTGTAGGATCATCGTCAGGCAGAGTATGGCTGCTCAGCTGATCTGGATCCCCAATATGGAGCTGTTTGAGTTGCTCAACAGCATCTCTGTGTCTGAGATGTTTACTTGATTCATTGAAACTGATGGTATCAGGCTCTTGATGGAGGATAATGAGAGAGTCTCTCTGGCTTCTACCAGAGATGCCAGAGGCAGAGCAAGTTTGGGAACGCCTATCCCGTTCCTCAAAAAAGGAACTGAATGGGTTGATAGGGGAAGGCTGAACATCCCTCAGAGATTCATCAAGGAATGGGTTAGTGGCACTCCAGGGGGGTGTTCCACCAAATGAAGGCAATCTGGTTATGGAGGAAAGGTCTAGTTTCTGAACTTTAGAGAGATCTCCCAAGGTACTTTTGGGACGCTCCCTCTTTTTAAAGGTTGAGGAAGGGCTGCTAGATTTCACATCGACTATCTGTGCTGTTGTTATCGGTGCTGTTGCTGCTGTTGTTGGAGTTGATGCAAATGGTGGAGTGTCAGGTTTCACTGGAGACAAGGTTGGTGGAGAAACACAGCTCACTTCATTATCATCAAAAGTCACCCAGCTGGGGAAACGAGCTGTTGTTGGAGTTTCACTGTGGCCATTAATGGATGTGTTATTCAGTTGCCAGCTGGTGGACTCCATGCCTAGCTCTTCATCTTCCAAAAGGGATGAAGAATTGTCTAAGGGGAGAGGTGAGAGAGTGTTATTATAATGTAAGTTCTAAATATCACAATATAGATCAGCACTTTTGCAATGTATTCAAGTTACCATAATGTATTATGAACATGGTGTAGAACTTCCAGAAGGTTTCTGGAAAGCAAGGGTGTGAAAACTCATTTAGCCTTAGGGCTGAATTCCATTTGTGGGAAACTCTCATGAGTCACTCACAAAATAGAAGCATATTTTAGCTTAAAGTTCTTATAGCCAATGACTAAGAGGCCTTTCTACTTTATGGAATAGGAAAAAATGTGCAAAAGGCAGGAAACCACTCAAGGATCAGAGGTAGAGAAGAATTATTGTTTGGGAAACCCCAGATTTATTCATTTATTTACTTATATCCTGCCTTCTTGCCTGCAGGGAACCCAAGGCTGCTAACATAATCCTCTTGCTCCTCTCCAATTCACCCTCACAACAACCCTGTGAAGTAGGTTAGGCTGAGACTGGTGACTGACCCAAAGTCACTCAGGGAGCTGCATGGCCAAGTGGGCATTCCCATAGGCCTAAGGTTCAACACCAGAAAGGGAAAGCTATGCTAGCCCCAAATAATTCTTCTTTATCTATTTTAGATGCAAGAACACATTTGTACAATCTCAGGTGGAAACAAACCTCCTTCCCAAGTGCTCATACTGGTTTGCTTTGTACTCAACTTTTGCTGTTTATTGCTAGTCTCTGGTAAGTCATGCTCAGATTCTTGCAGTCCCAGAAATGCAATTACATCTTCTTACAAACAGCAATAAGACTGTTATTTGGTCACTGGATTTAAAAATGTTTCTGACAGCCACATAAATCTGGTTTTAGTCATGGCAAAATCGTTGACAGTTTGCCTTTTCTGTGGCAGAGAGAACTTGAGCAAGCCAGATATTCAGCATTAATTTCACAAGACATATTTGCAACATTTAATTGCTTGCATTTATACTAGACATTTTAGATAAATAAAATTCATAAAATTCTAAACATATGGACATTAGGCATATCTATAAATGTACACTGAAGGATTAAAAAACTGGAGCAGTTTTAGATAATCAGTGTAAAACAACATCTGGGGAAGGGGAAAGGAAGTCTCAGTTGCCTAATGCTGTTCTTCCTTCCTGTCACTATCCTAACCCATACTTAGATTCTAAAACATCAAAGTAACAATGGTCTTCTCAACTGGACAGGAAGATGGTGATCTGGAAGTGGGGGTTTGTCACTATCTCCTTTGTCCTGCTCAGATCACTTTCTTGTGAGATTTAGACTTATGACTGTTCTTTCCTTCTCCAAGGGTGAGAGACCTACTAAAATGGTCTGCCCCTGGAATCTGATGGATCCAATCAGTTTCCAGAAGGCCCTGGGCGTTTTCCATCTGCCCCAAAGGAGATCAAGGTAAACACTTGGCAGCTCAGCAACAAAGGCGCACAGCATTTGGAGAATAAAATCATTCTGATTTCACATGAATTGGATTCCACATTTGATGCAGTTCCTAGAGTGGAGTTGTCCATCTGGTCCCATTTTATTGGATACGTTTCAATTACTGAGGCCTGATGATGTGGACAAGATGCTTGGACAAGTCTGGCCTACCACTTGTATTCTTGACCCTTGCTCCTTGTGATTGGTCATCGAAGCCAAGGAAAGAACGCATCCCTGGGTGCTGGCTATTGTGAATGTCTCTCTGATGGAGGGCCAGATCCCACTTCCATTAAAAGTGACGGTGATCAAACCTCTCCTGAAGAAGGCTAGCCTGGACCCAGAAGATGTTAACAACTATAGACCTGTAGCCAACATTCCCTTCTTGAATAAGGTGCTTGAGCGCATGGTGGCTGGACAGCTCCAGATACTCTTGGAGGAAATGGACCATCTAGATCCATTTCAGTCTGGATTTAGGCCTGACTATGTGACGGAGACTGCCTTGGTGGCCCTATGGGATGACCTTTGACAGGAGAAAGACAGGAGGAGTGTGTTCCTGTTAGTTCTCCTGGACCTCTCAGTGGCTTTCAATATTATTGCCATGGTATCCTTCTGGATAGGCTGGCCGGGCTAGGAGTTGGAGGCACTGCTCTGTAATGGTTCTGCTCCTACCTAACCAGCCAATTTCAGATGGTGTTGCTGGGGGGCAGTACCTTGACCTCATGGTTTTTATGCCATGGTGTACTGCAGAGTTTCATCCAATTCCCCATACTGTTTAATATCTTCATGAAACTGCTGGAAGAGATCGTCCAGAGCTTTGGGCTGAAGTGTCATCATTTACATCTAATCAAGGTGAGGTGGTTTCGACTCTGAACCAGTGCCTATCCAGGGTGATGGACTGGATGAGGGCCAATAAATTGAAGCCAATCATGAGAACAATGTAAAGCAAGATTGGGAAAGAGAATTTAAGGTTTGAACAGAATTAGAATAGAAGTGTATGTGTGTACAAGTGATATTTAGGTGATATTATGATGAGGGCAGATTTTTTAGTAAGGTATTACACAACAACAAAACTTTGATAAATGCAAATGAATCAGACTGCGCTGAAGACATGGAAGTGCGATTCCAATAAATGCCAAAGTAATGCTGTTGGGAATTATAGATGGACATTTTAGTAAAGTATGGGTGGTATCCATGCCAATTTGAACATGTAAAATGTAAAAGCATGAAAAATTACTGGTTATTCTACTATTTGCCAAAGGAAAACCTGGATAGTATGTAGATGGACAAAATGACCAAGTATAAGACCCCAGGGAAAGAAAAGTTCATTCAATAGAGAATTTTCAAAATATAAGTTCAATATATGGGAAATTTTCTTGAATATTTGAATAATCTTGCAGATGCTTTTAATAATTAGATGGGAAGGAGGGATTATTCTGCTTGTTCAAATACAAGATATTTAGTTCTGTTGTCTTCTAAGTACAGTATTTAAACACTATCTTTATGTTTGCCATATTCTAAAAAATCTGCCAACATACCGTTGTTCTCACAACAATAGTTGCATAGCAATGCTGAAGACAACAGTCATTTAAGGTGAAGCTTTCAGCAGCTCCAACATGGTGCACTGAATAAAGCGCAGCAAGTTAATAACTCTGTGAAGGTAAATTAATTATGGCCCATTTTCAACAAGATAAAATATTCCCTCTGTGAAGGCTTTATTAGGGCTGCTCAGAATTTTTTTTCTTCCACTAGAAATGTGTATTTAGGTTCCTCAGAAGTCTTGATATGTAAGTTATTAGGTCAGTGCAGCTGCTGAACAATGCAGCCATAACATAGTGTTTTCCAGTCTGGTGCTGGACTACAACTCCCATTATCCCCAGCATGGCCATACAGGTTGAGATGGTAGAAGTTGGAGACAGCTATGTTGGTAGTTTCCATGCCTTCGCCAGGAACACTTCATAGAGGGGCAGTATTTATCTAAGGAATTAACTGTGCAGACCAGACTTATTGCAGATGTTACTCTCTGACTTGGAGCTTGGACCACATGGAAACCATTTCCAGGGGCAATTTCCAGGGGCAACCCTTTCATGTTGCTATGAAATATATGAATTAGGGCACTTGCCATTTGCCATATCAGTCCATGAAATTCATAACCATGAACTTTATTAAATCAGAATAATGTAATACTTATGGCCAGAAGGTGGTGCCAAAAACCCGGACTAAGCTTGAAAACACTGAGATTGTTAAAATTCTATCTACTTACTATGGGAACATTAATTTTCCCAGTGAAATGGTGGATCAATAGTAGAATATAGCTGCAATACACACACACACACACACAGAGTAGGACTTTTACATAACCTTACTATATTACATTTGCCCTTCAAATAATGCACAGACCATATAGCTAACCTGAAGTACCACTCAGAGTAGTAGTAATTCAAAATTAGGGCATAATCCACTTGGATGTAAAGTGGCTGTGCATGGAAGATCTCAATAAGGCTCAATATAGCCTTGCTTTTCCTTTCTTTCTGTTGAATGTGCTTCCACACATGTAGGAATGTACACTGACCAGTTCTCTTACTTCATGCCTTGTGACTTTATCATGCTCTGAAGATTAGGAGCTTGCATGGAGCAGAGGTTATGGTAGGCAGTAATATGCAGAGATTGCCTATATGCATCTCCTATATACCTTGTGCAGGTGTATGTATACTTGTTCAGGTAGAAAAAGGAAGACAGGGCTGTTAAAAATCCTATTGAAATTCACCATGCACAATTACTGTGTCCATAGTGCAAGTGTATTGTACCACTAGATCTCACCCTGAACAATTATACGTGTGTTAGTTACTTATGTACTTTTTCCTATGCTATGATTGTGTCACCCAAAACAAACTTTTTCTGGGGCTGCAGTAGATTACAGTGGTACCTTGGCTCACAAACACCTCAGTTCACGACCAATTCAGGTCACGAACAGGAAGTTCTGAAAAATTTTGCCTCAGGTCACGAACTCTACATTGGGTGACAATTGCGAGCGCCCCTGTCTCCCCCCGCCCCCAGCGCGCCCATGATCGCACCCATCTCCCCCGAGCGTGCCTGTGATCTCTCGTCTATGCACAGTTGTGCGGGGGGGGGGGGGATGGCCATACTCATGCTCGAGGTGGGGAGATGGCCGCAATCTTTGTTGTTCTTTGTCACTTTGCGTCAAATGTTTGTGGTTAAAAAAAAACAGATTAACCTTATTTACATTGAACCTTATGGGAAAATTTAACTTGGCTCATGACCTATTTGGGTCATGACCAGAGTCCTGGAATAGATTAAGTTCGTGAGCCAAGGTACCACTGTATTTGATCTGGAATATTGCTTGCCAACTACTTGATTTTTTACATGATACACCCAAGAGCTTTTGAAGTTCACCAATACCTGGATGCCCATGGGTAGTTCAAGTTATGACCAGTTAAAGAGATAAAATGTTGGTGCCTCTATATGAAGCTTTCATATAATACATGGCATGATAAGGCACAATAGTTTGCAAAATGTCAACATTTTGCACTGCAGATAACCTGGGAGAAGTGTGTGC